AAAATTAAAAAATATTTTCCCAAAATAAATTCCCCTTCCCACACGTTCGTATATTCCGTAATTTCCCTCTATTCTCCGTAGCGGCAACATGGGAATTCAAGGAAGTTTGAAAATCTGCCGTTCATTAATTATATGAAGTAAATATATATATATATATTTAAATAAATGTAATTGTAATTTAATTTATAAAATTTATTGTAGTTTAAAACACGTCTGCATGAAATCACATGATGTTGTATGTATTTAAATGTTTTACGTGTATAAGAATCAATAAATTCAATTCAATTTATAAATAAGTGATTACAGATCGCAATAACATTTACTTTATATAAAAAATTAATTTCAAAATTGCAAAAAATATAAAGTATTTCTTTCTGGGATTTGTTTCTCGGATTTTAATGGCATTTAAAATCTGTTGTCTATAAATAAATTGAAGACAAAAACGACTCAAACGATCGTAAAAAAAACTATCGAAAACTAATGGGTCTGAAGGCGCCGGACGTCCGGAATAGTGTTTCCATAGAAACAACAGAATTGATGGTCTCATCATTTGCTTCGCAAAATTTGTGAAAACAATTTATTTTATATCTTAATTACTGACAAATGAAAACTACATTAGAGTTTCAATTCTAACGAATTATATGAAAAATTAATTTTAAACTCGTTTCTCAGCACATTATTCGCATTTATAACATGCAATTATTTGTATTACCGGTACCTGTCATTTTGTCGAATATTTATAATAAGACACATATCGGTAAATATTTGATTCATAAATATTAATCAAAAACTATATGAATGTAATTATTTTAAAGATTAAAAGACAACATTGGATGCAATTTGTATTGTCAAACATAAACTCAAACCAAATATTAATTCTATAAAAGTTAAGAATATTCTCTATTCAGATGAAAAGAGAATTCAAAGAAATACAGTTAATATACTGAATGTGTATTAAATTATAGTCAATAGATATGAGTTCTAAATATAGTTATAACTTATAAATATATGGGACACTCAATGTAATAATATTTACGGATTATTAAAAGTGATGTTTTCAAAACTATATTATCATTTCAATCACAACTAATAAAATAATGACTATTGAAAACGTCAGACAGAATAGTAACAACTAATTAAACAAAACGATTACCAATCATATAAAAGTCCTTAACATAAATATAATACAAATATTACTATAAAATATTGCTTAATATATAGCTATTTAAGTAATGAATATTTTATTCAATAATTAAAAATGCAGACAAAAAAACAATAATTTCAATTGTCTCTCACCATAACTACATTGCAATTAATAAGCGAATCAAATGTTTTATCCAAAATGGCATTTCTCTCGTCAATTGATGTGATTTATTGACAATTTTTGCAAATATTTAAAAAGCGAAAGAAAGTATGAAATAAAACGCTGTATAACTGTAAGCATTGATTGAGAGCTAAGAAATAGTTCAAAAACAAATTTTATGAAATACATGATCGTTGATGTCTTTGAAGGATGTGTTGACGGCATTTGATGTGTAAAACATTGAATGAATTCAAGTTTTTGTGAGACGAGAATGTGATCAACGAATGTGCGCTCACTATAGCAATGAGTGCATTGACTACTGCTCTCCACTCACTCTACCATACATTTGGATTACATATTACTCTCCATCACAAACACATCACATCTGCACTTATTTTACATCTATTTATTGACAATACATTTATGCAATACTTCCATATTATATGCAATCAAAACAGTGTCTCACAAATAATCATATGATTGTCATTTTCCTCATATTTTGTCAATAATTAGCACAATAAACAAAAAACATAGTTTTATATCAAAAATTTGTTGAATTAAATACATAAACGTAAAAATAGTTATAATTAATGATTATTAATATCTCATTTGGCATTAATAATGACAAACAAAAAAGAGTTAGACAATGATTAGTGAGCACTGGAATCAATTCAAATAATATGATATTCAGTAAATGTAAATAAAGCATCACTTGTTCACAATTGAGATCACATTTTAAGGCTTTTTTAAAAACAAGTTATTAAACAAGTTTTGAGCTAAAGTGAGTTAATTTGAATTAAATGTAATCTAAAATCACATGTTTTACTAGAAATGCCAATTAGGGGATTGACATGATTTCTACCAAAACACTATATCCTATACTCTATTCACCAAACAATCATTAAATATTGAATTCAATACAAATAATACAATAGTATTCCTTATTCTTATAAATGAAAGAAACGAGAAATAGTGACCAAAAAGTTATCAATACTTAAAACATCTAAAAAGGCTTTCCTTTTAAGTAACTCTTACAACACTAATGGCTTTATAACATAAAAACCAATTTAATCCAAACTTTTAACTAAAAGGTGTGATCACTAATCGTATATTACTATTATCTTATTAACTAATTATAACTAATAAATAAACATTTACTATAATTTACATCATTTTTCACAAGAAAAAATCTAAGTCTCCGCTCAACCATACATTCAAATGCATATCAAATTGCAATCTTATAATTAGATTTACTGTTTTATAATGTACTCAAATATTTTTAACACAAGGGGTTCACAAAATCACAAGATTTTTGACAGACATCTGACACCAAACATAAAGTCAATATTTAACCATTGATTTCAAGCTTTTTTTAGTTTTAAGGTTCTATTTCACTGTTAATACCGATTGTTTTGAGTCAATACAGTAATGCGGCGCAACTTTTAGTCTTTTTTAATCAAAAATATTTTAAATTAAAAAAAGAAAAAGTTATTGAATAAACAAATTCTAGCCAAAAGTCAAACAAAATGGGAAACACCAGAGATTGGGTGCACTCGACTAAAATATATCACCCATTCATAAGTTATGATGACTTTTCTAAAATTATAATTTCATAGCAAAGCAAACAAATATGGATTTAAGTTTCATTTCAAATCTTTCATAACTGTTGTATGGCTTCAAGACAATAATGGTTTAGGGGTTTGTCTGGGGATGAGTTATGGGAAGAGATAACAAATTGAGATAAACCATTGAAAATAAACATTGATATACAACTAAAATGGCAAACAAAAATCATATAAAACAAAACAAAATCTTACGGCTATTCCATGCAAAACCATTTCGGGAATACTGAGGGGTCCAGTAATAGAGGCGCCAACACTCGCAGCACTTACTGAAGGCCGGTTGTGATCGTAAACATTAGCTGCACTTATGGTTGTGATGTCCGCTTCGATTGTCACACTATTTCCGCTCCCAATACTCGAAGACGAAGACGAGTTCCGATTGTAGTTCTCTTTATGGCTCGACTGAGAGCCCAAAGACTCGCAGCTGTGGACAGAAACGCGATGCGATTGCCCTGAAGTCTGTATTCAATAATCCAATAGTTATATAACAAAATCAAACTAAACATTATTATAAACAGAGTGAAATCATAGCGAAGGCGCAGGCGACAGGTTTCTACGCCATGATATAGACCTAAAAGACGATAGTAATGATGATCACGACCCTGACTGTGCAGGGTGCAGATGCGGTACCAGAACCAGAGAAACCCTTGAGTTATTAATAGGGTTTATGTTTAAGTTGTTGACAGATGTGCTGCCGTTTGCCGTCACACCTGGCGCTGCCATTGAGCTCGACTGACCACAGCCAACACCATTCATAGCACACCCATTGGGCGCTCCCATAGCTGTCTGGTTCACAGTTAGACCGTATTTATTCATTTTGTTCATATTGTGAGACAAATAATTCTGTTTAACAATCAAATCAAAATCAATTAAACCCAAAAACAAATCACACATTATTTCAAATCACATACATTTGTGTCATAGAAAGGATGCGAAAACATATCGTTTCCAAAATCAGTGCAATTCTTTGGCAATACATCTAAAATTAATAACCATTTCATGAGTTAATGCACTATTAAATCAATGATCAGTAAAGCACTTACTGTTTGTAAGGACACCAGAAGTGTGGCTCTGCATCAAAGAGTGCGGCTCTGAATCACTTCTCATCACATTTGTCGATGAATTGGTCCGAAGATTGGCTTTTGTGTCATTGTTTGGTGCGATTGGCGGCGATATACGGATACTCGACCGCAAAGGACTTCCACGGCTTATACCACTCACTATACATACAATACAAGCGTTAATTATAATTGCATTTGCGTTCAAACATTCACTGTCTATACAATCAAATCAATCATTACAAGCATTCAATCGTTTCATTAGTAAATTGTTTACAAATTCACATCAAATCAAATCAAAACTATTTTCATAATACAAATACAAATCGGAGTCAACTTTGAGCGCAAAAGCCATACATTTAGTGAATATAATTGAAAATAAATCAATAATTGTTAATTGATTTGCAAAATGAATGCAATTGTAATAATAAATGCCATAATAAATGATTGCAATGATTGTGTGTTTTGAATCACGTATTGCTATAACTCTTATCACAACTCATTTGACAACAAATTGCTATCAATTATTAACACAACTCTTGTATTCATACCATTGTTGTTGTCGTTTAAGTGAATCGATATATTCCTCATCGTATGGCTGAAAGCGATGGTGGGATCAACTCATCACTCAATGGCGACAGTCGTGTCTTCGCAAACAAATCACACGATTAATGAAAACAATTCAAATGAATGGCAACTGTAGTGCCATTTAATCCGCCATTTGCTCAACGAATGCAACCAACGATTGTGTGGACACACTGTACTCGCTGTACATGTATTGCGTTGAACGCGAGTACAGCACTCCTGCCTAATGTAGTCAATAGGAGGCGAGAGTTGACGTGAACTCAAACCCGAAACTCAAACAAAAACAACACTTTTATCTGACGTTTCGATGCTTTGACTCTCTATAGTAAAGTCAAGACCTTTTCAAAGTTATGCAATACTGACTGTAAGCGATAAACAGCACTACTGAGCAGTGGTGTGAGTAGCCAGACATATGAGCGATAAGCACATTCAATGCACTGTCAATGCTNCTGTAAGCGATAAACAGCACTACTGAGCAGTGGTGTGAGTAGCCAGACATATGAGCGATAAGCACATTCAATGCACTGTCAATGCTGACGAGTAGTATTATATAACTTTGAAAAGGTTTTAACGCGACTTTATTGGCTCTAATGTTTGGTCTCTATTATAGCTGTAATACTACTCTATTATAACGTTTTACTCTACACTCTGTACAGAGTCTACAATCTATTGCAGAATACCTACTATTACTTGACATTACTTTCAAAACTTTTACACCAAAAAAAAACTCTCATCTCTTTTGTATATTTCCATATAATTTACTATAAGTTTGCAAACAATTATCTTATGATTGATTTGTAGGTAAATAATTGCATACTTTATCACTAAAAATGCATTGAAAGCATTCATTGGATCCGTTTATCAATTATTGTTTCACTTAATTATAGGGAAAATCAAGTTTTCACATCTGTTTCTGTTATACAATACACTTTACTATACGAGTAATAACAGCGCCAATAGTTTTTGCAATGTATTTATAATAGCATTAATTTTTGTACATTTCATGTTTTAATTGTCGTCATTAAAGTATCGATAATAGTATAGCAATACTATAGACAACTCGATCAATGAGGTTAAGACTCGTGGCCTAAATGGTCCGTTTAGTGGCGACTACAGTATACAATAATGGATCTGCAATCTAGGTCATCAACCATATGCATTTACAGTTACAAAATAAGTGTTTAAGTCATACTGGTCAATACAGTAGTTAAGTTTAACATAGTGTGAATTGCCAATGTGGCTATTTTATTGAAACATGCTAGATTAGTTTTTACCACACAGAGATTTGGTGAGAACTGACAAACAGCTTACGTGCTGTTATGTAGTATGCATTTTATGGATACTAGTGGTGATATTGAAGCACCACTTCTCCACTTATGAACTAATCTTTTGACTTTTGCTTACATCTACACACGTACTGAAGAACATGTTTGTTATTATTGGCTAATCTAACTCTAAGATTCTAACAGATGCCAACTTCTTCCCCATATTGACTCAGTTTCTAATGTTTTGATCATTTTGTTTAGTATTTTTAAAATATTTAAAATATATTAAAATAAAATAAAATATTAAAATTAATTTGCAAAATACTTTTGCATTACAAAAGTTATTCACTGAAATGATATTTTATTTATTAAAACAAATGATGGGTTAACTCATAATAGGAACAATAATTACAAAAATGACTTAAACAATATGGCTAAACAGATATTGATATGAAATGATACTCTATGTAATCTAGAATACTATGGATAATAGGTTTTATCAATATTAAAAGTTACATATCGTATGTTAATTCACATAAAATCAATACCGAAAGTGTTAAAGACTTTGCTGTAAAGAAATCTCAATAGTGTTGCTTAAAAATAAATGATTGGTATAAATAACAAAATGATGTGATATATCATTGATTGAAAAACTTTTGATCAAATAAATAGTAAGTAAAGATATGAATGAATATATTGCACATAAATATAGGTTTGATGAATGAAATGAATAATTGAGCCAAAAATATAACTGTAATGTCAAACGGAATCTCAAATGTCGACACCACAGGAATCTCCATCATTAGCGCCACGTCTGGCCAATTGGTTAGGGGTTGGGATGAGCTCCAAGAACTGGTACGGAATGGTTAGAGTAATGTCATTGTTTTCGACCAATAGGTGCCCGCGTTTTGCTGAGGCGCCCACTACTGTCACTCTCTGGCCTTTTTCTAATTGCACTTTAGGTCCCGATTCTATGCATTCAATGTGTCATTATTTGAATTTGAATTAACTTATGAGTACTACAAACCCGGATAATCCATCTTGATAATCCTCTTCTGTGGATAACCCAGTTTTGCATTTCCTGTTATAGTATAGGAACGACTCGGAGGAACGGGAGGCGGAATATTCTTGATTGTATAAAACANATACTACAAACCCGGATAATCCATCTTGATAATCCTCTTCTGTGGATAACCCAGTTTTGCATTTCCTGTTATAGTATAGGAACGACTCGGAGGAACGGGAGGCGGAATATTCTTGATTGTATAAAACAACTATTAATACCAAATACAATGATAAACAAGAATCGCTATAAATATTTACCAAATCGATGCCAAATAAAGTACACGTCTCTTGAATCACATTTTGATCACAAATTTCAACAGATTTTGATTGATTTTGTTGCGGAGTAGTGCCAAACGGGGGCGGAGTCCCAGTGATGGGAAGTGGTCTGGGCTTCGATGAAACCCCATTCGGAAGAGTATTATTCTTAGTATTCTTGTTTGTGGGCAAGTGTTGTGCTAAAAGGGTCTCTTTGATGAGAGGCCACCGCCGCCTAACCGTCCACTTCTTCCAAGTGGTCTGTATTAGAAGTGCCGACAAAACTCTTTTCTCATTCCTTAACATTTCCAACTGCTGTCGCGCGCCTTCACTCAGGAATATATGCCTCTTTCCGAGAGCCCAAGTGGTCGATGCGGCCGAAACCGGCTGAATATTCTTCTGGTTCTCCATAAAACAGTCCAGAATTAACTGCAAATTGATTTCAAAATGAATGCATTAATAAATAAATTAGTAATAATTGTATTAAAAAGTCATACTTTGCAGTCTTCTATCGCTTTGTCGTCCGCTCTCTTAAGTAACTTAAACGGCGCTAAAAGTCTATAACGAGAGTTGAATGCTTTGAATCTCATTCTGTGCGGTAAACCGCCGGCCATTAGATTCACTGTTTCCAAGATCTGAAGTGCGCGGATCTGTTTGATAACTGTCGCCCTATCAAAGAAATTTGGCTGCTCTGAACTGTTGGCCTGAAATTGCATTCAATTCAAACAATATTATCAATATTTGTAATTACAATATTGTTTTATTTAAATAATTTCATACTTTTATGCATCTTATAAAGTGAGGTCTCGCGTGAACTAAAGTTCTCAATAGATTGTCAAGTCTTGTATGAAAATCTTGAGTCAAAGTGGAGACCGGATTGTATCCGTTCTGAGTGTCCACATGTGCTGTCGGAGCGATTCTGAAGGTTAAACCTCTGGGAACTGTTTCCTTATTATACAGAGCTCTCAATTCAACGCCAAACAAATGAGTGACAAAACCGAAAACACATGTATTCTTATGGAATATATGGATCACGTCATCGCTTAAGCGATCGGAATTTGATTCCAAGAAGTTTGCCGTATCGTAAGTCACGTGACCCGCAAAGTGTCTGATCCCAAATAGACGTGACATTGTTTGCGATTGATCTGATGCTGACTTGTTTTTAGTTGCGTTGACATCAAAGTATCGGCTATTTGTCGAGTGTTGAGCCTTAATCTTCTGGATATATGCTTCAGGAGTACCTCTCAAAGAGCACTCGACATCCAATAGACTAAATAAACCGGTTCTCTGTTTCATTGAAAAGCAATTCATTTTAATAACATTTTATTATAATTCAAATTAATTTCATACCAAAGAAGAAATAAAGTCAATGCAGGGAACGTTATCCACGTAATCAATCTCTATATCAGATTTGACGCCTTCTTCACGACAAGACTCGATACTTGATTTGAAAATATGTGTGTTATAGAAGTGTTGCATTGTTTCCGAACATAGGTTTATACACAACTGCTCCAAATGACTCGGCTGACAATTGACATTGAACAATTTATTATTAAATCACTTTTCAAACTTTTTAAATATTTTCATTACCTTTGAGTCTTCAAAGCCAAACATATCTAATATACCAATGAAGCCATCGGTTGCATGTCTTACAGCCGAATTCAATACATTCATCGATTTATGAGATTTCGCACCATTTGATCCTAATTACCAGCAAATACTTTAGATATCTTTCATGGATTAGGAATTCATATTTTAAAATATTTCAATACCAATACTGGACGCGTGATGACTACCCGTCTCAGTTTGATTGTGAATCGATTCATTGCTGTCAGAACTAAGTGTACCACAAGTGGATCCAATTCTTTTGGAACTGTTGGCTCTTCTTATGATTGTGGCCACAGTTCGACAGTAAAGAGCTTTAGCTAAAGCATCTCTCGTGGACGAGGCCTACGAATAAAGCATACGAACGGATATTTAAAACTACAAATTCATAAATGTTACGACAAAAATCGCGTACTCCATGTGAGTCGCGGTGAGACTTAATTAGCTGTCCTCTAATACTGTGGTGAGTTCTCGAAGTCAAGCCTTTATATAGCAAAACACTAGAAACGCCGAGCAATGAGGAGACGGCGTTTATTTCGTGATTTCCACTGCTTTTGCATTCACTGCCAGAATCGTCATGATTTTGAAATTCGTTGAATTTAACGTTTCCCAACAGTAATACCGCCGCCAATACCCGAACCACATCTAGGAATGGGATTCCCAGCACTGATAGACACGACTGAATAATCAATCAATAAGAGTCGGTTATCACTTGCAAATCGATGGCATTAATCATTGCGAACATACTTTCCACGCTTCAAATCTGACGGCATCCTCCTCTGCATTAGAACTCATGTTTGAGTGCTTTAGATATCTTAAATTCTGAATCGTAAAGCCCTCTAAATTCAGTTTTGCTATAATATTGATAATGTTTTAAATTTAATTATTCAAATATTGTAACTTTATGTGTAAATTGTATATAATTTGTGAACCAATCGCTCACCCCTTT